AAATTTTTACAGCAAGTATCTCTGATGCAGGCCTCATTTCTCAAATAAATAGAGCACTGAGCTAAACTTATAAGAATACAAGTCATTCCCTAATTGATAAATGGTCAAAGGATATCAACAGGCAGTTTTCAGATAAAGAAATTAAAGCTATCTATAATCATATAAAATGCTCTAAATCACTATTGATTAGAGAAATGCTAACTAAAACAACTCTGAAGTACCACCTCAAATTTATCAGATTGACTCTATTATATTAGTCAATCTAACATAATAGGAAAGAAAAATAATAAATGTTGGAGGGGATGTGGGAAAATTGGAACACTAATGCACTGCTGGTGGAGTTGTGAACTGACCCAACCATTTTGGAGAACAATTTGGAACAATACTCAAAGGGCAATCAAACTGTTTGTGCCTTTTGACAGCAATACCACTACTAAGTCTGTGTCTCAAAGAGATTATAAAAAGGGAAAAGGGCCTACATGTACAAAAATATTAATAGCAGCTTTTTCTGAGGTGGCAAAGAATTGGAAATCAAGTGGATGCCCATCAACTGGGGAATGGCTGATCAAGTTGTGGTAGGTGAATGTAATGGAATACTATTGTGCTATAAGAAATGATGAGCAGGCAGACTTCAAAAAACTTGGAAAGACTTACATGTACTGATGCAGAGTGAAACGAGCAGAACCAGGAGAACATTGTACACAGTAACAGCCATATTATGGGATGATTGACTTTGATAGACTTGGCTCTTCACAGCAACACGAGAATCTAAAACAACTCCAAAAAACTCATGATGGAAAAAGCAACCCACATCCAGAGAAAGAACTGATGGAGTCTGAATGCAGAGTGAAGCATACTATTTTAACTTTATTTTTTCATGATTTAAATCTTTTTTTCTGATTCTTCTTTCACAATATGACTAATATGGAAATATGTTTTACATGATTGCACATATATAACCTTTATCAAAATAGGGAGAGGGAGAAAATTTGGAACTCAAAATTTTATAAAAAATAAATGTTAAAAATTGTCTTTACATGTACTTGGAAAAAACAAAATACTATTTAAAAGAAAACATGTTCCAAATTATTAATAATAGAAATGCAAAATAAGACAATTTGGAGTTTTCATCTCAAAAAAAAGAGGATGCCTTTGATATATGTGTAAATTATTTTAATAAATTTTTCTGTGGACATTAGAAAGTAGACTAGGGTGACTAGCTGTTGATAGTTTCATTTATCTTTTCAGTAATTATAACAATGATTTTTTCTCCTAATCTCTTGACATCTTCCCATTTTGTTTTTGAGAACCAATCCCATAATATCCTCAAAATGGTGTTGCTTTCTTCATGGACCTCTTCTATGTATACTCACCTGATTCAGAAGTCCTCCCTACTTTTGGCTGTTGGTTTTTTTTTTTAAGTGCTATGTCTACCTCCTTGTTCTGTACAGTAGTAATAATAAGGGCAACTAGGTGGCATAGTGAATAGAGCAGTGGGCATGGAGTCATAAAGACCTAAGTTAAAATCCAGTCTCAGATCCTTGCTAGCTGTGTAACCCTGGGCAAGTCATGCAACACTTTTTGCCTGTTTCCTCATCCATAAAATAAGCTGGAGAAGGAAATGGCAAATCACTCCAGTATCTTTGCCAAGAAAACCCCAAATGTGGTTGTGAAGAATCAGACAAGACTGAACAACAGTAATTGTAATGTCAGAGTCCAAATGTTTCAGAAATCTTGATCTTTTCCATTTTTCATCTATTTCATCCTTAAGTACAATTGGGATGATATAACTTAATTGTGGACTCAAACTTTCTTTGGACTTAACTTTCCCTCCAACACTTTATACTTTAAATGGGTATTGCCCTTGCTGACATACTTGGTACAGAGACTGATGGCTGAGGCATTTTGGACCTCTCATTGGGACAATTGTTTGACATAAGTTAAACTTCCAAAGTTATTGTGACAGTTCATGTCAATATCTTTCCTTTTATCTATTTCCCATTTTTTTTTTTGCTGTTAGCAGTATGTTTAAATAGGTAATCTTGGAAGCTCTGCAATGTGTCAATTAATTGGACAGCACATTATTATTGTCATTCTTCTAATATGGTGTTAATTTTGATCTTTTCTCTAACAAGTCAATAATATAACCATGCACAAATAGCAGGTTTGGAAATGAATCCCACATGGCAATCAGTTGTTTCTTATCTGTTAAGATAAAGTCAGTTTCATTTTTTTTTGTGATGCTGTTTCATGTTCAGCATGTGAAATACCTTTTCACTTTTTTTTTGGAGAAAAAAAACTATGATTAGATAGGTGAGAGGCTTCTGTATGGTCTATAAACCTTTGGCTTCTTTCACTTATTGATCCTGCACCATGTTTTCCTACCCTATCACATCTTTGCATTTAAGTCATCAGGTATTGAAGTATGTGTTGATTTAATTTAGAGGGTCTATTAATCCCATCCAGCAAGCATTTATTAAGTGCTTACTATATATAAGGGATTATTCTAGCTTTGGGGGATTTTGGAAAATGAAAAAATCATTCCTCTCATCAAATGGCTTCATTAACTGGGGCTTGCCAAATTCTTTTAGAATTTTTCTACCTCTTCATCTTTTGCCATAGATTTGGCACACAAGTGTCTGATATTTTTATGGTAGAAGTTTTACTTATGCTTATCATGAACACGCAATTTGAGGTAACTTATCCTACTGCAATATAAAGTACCTGCTTTTGGACACATGATGAAAATATCTCTGTCAATTCCTTTATAACTAAAATGGGATTCCTGAGGGTCTTATAACTTTTGGTTTTACAGGTACTATGAAAATTGTGCATGATCTTGCCTAAGGTATCAAGATTTGGAACCTACTTTAGGGGAGTTTTGAAATTTGATAATCTAGTCATACTGAAACTCCAGCCAACTCCTACATTAGCAGCAACAGCCCTAAACTCATAAGATTTAGAGCTGGAAATTATCTCATAGCCCAACCCCCTTATCTTACAGACAATGAAACTAAAGCCTGTAGAGGTTAAATGAGACACCGAGATCACACAGACAGTAAGTGGCAGAACTGGAGTAGGAAACCAGTCAATTTTATTCCTGATTCAGTATTCTGTCTTCTCATCACCCTGAAGATCTTTGAAAGCAGTGATGGAGGCAGGAAGGAAGGAAAGCTTTCCATTTCTATTCTCTTAATCCTGGTTTTGTGCTAAAAAAAAAAGATGGTATTCAAATATGTGTATACCTCTGTGTCAGTATCTGAATCTAAATAGATGAGGATAGATCTAGATACCTATATAGTGATACCAGTGGAATCATAGGTTCAGTCTCTATCCTCTCTTCCCATAGATTTCCCATTGAAATTACACCTTTGATTCCTTACTGTTCTTTTACTATCATTAATTAGATAACAGACAAATCAACATAGCAAAAAAACCCCCATATGATATAGATTTAGATATATGATATAGATAAATATGTATATGTATGCATGTATGTATCTATATATGTAAATTCAGTCGCTATCCTCTCCTCCCATGGATTCCCTATTGAAATTACACCTTTGTTTCAAGACCTACTGTTCTTTTGCTATCATTAACTGGATAATGTACAAATCAATATAGCAAAAAAAGTATATAACCATATATAAAGTGTGTATCTATACCTAAAGCTAAAGATCTATATATTTTATATTATATATGGATAACATACAAATTAATATAGAAAAAAATGTATCTCTGTCTCTGTCTCTATGTTCAACCTTTAGTTTATCTTCCCATAGATTCCCCATTGAGATTACCCTTTTGTCTCCCTGCTGTTCTTTTAATATCATTAAGTGGATAATATACAAATCAATATAGCAAAAGAAAGTATATATGTGTATGTAGATATATAATCTAAAGATAAAGATCTCTCTATTAAAAGGATAACATATAAGTCAATATAGAAAAAAGTGCGTATATAACACAAATATCCATCTATATCTATAGATGTATGTATGTATGTATATATCTTCAGTACCTAGTCTCTCTTCCCATAGATTCTCCATTGAGCATACACTTTTGCCTCCCTGTTGTTCTTTTAATATCATTAAATGGATAACATACAAATCAATATTGCAAAAAAAAAGTGTGTATATATGTGTGTGTATGTATCTAGACATAGCAATGTCTATAGATAAATCTCTATATGTATCTATGGGGTCAACATATATACCTATGTATAAATATACACAAATATCTTTAGATATCTACATGTATCTATAGGTCTATATCTATATAGATAGATCTCTATAGCTCGATATCTATATGTATCTACATATTTATATAGATGTACAGATAGATATCTATACAATATAACAACAATAAGCACACACTTTTTTCTATATTGATCTAAATGTTATCCATTTAATGTTATTAAGATCAGCAAGGAAACAAAGGAATAACCTCAACGGGGAATTTATGGGAAGAGAGGATAGGGAATGAACTTGTTATTTCACTGGTATATGGAACATTGTTGTGAAAAGATAGTACCTGGTTTGAAAGTCTTAGAGAGCGTACCCTAGAGCACTGAGAAGTGGATTAACTCACCTCCAATCACACAGCCACGCTGTTTCAAAGGTAGGACTTTAAGCTCACCTCTACCTGCTCCTAAGGGTGGCTCTCTAACTAACCCAGCCTTCTGCCTTTCAGCGTGGGGGAAAATCCACAGAAATAGCAGGGCCAAAGAAAATGTAGCTGGATGGGCTGCGTTGGCAGAAGACGCATATCGCGGATCCATTTACAGACCCTTCCCAGGACCTCCTCAAAGCAGAGGGGTCGCGGAGCCCAGGCTGGCCTAGCTTGGGAAAACAAGCACTAGACACAAAAAGCAGGCTCTGGTCCGTTCAGCCCCCAGGGGCACATTTCACTCCAAGCTCCGCCCTGCCTACGCGGGGGGCGCGCAGGCCCCCTCCTAGGGGTCCTCCTTCTCCAGCCGGGCTTGGGCTCTGCGCTCTGTCCTCCCCGCCACCAGGTGCCCCCAGACCCCCAACTCCTCCTCGCTCGCCCGCCTCGCTGTTTCCTGTTGCTTGAATCCGGGCCTCAGTGCTCGGGCTCCGAGGCGCCCGCGGCAGCGACAGCAGCAGCAGCAGCAGCATCCAGAGCATCCATAGCGGCTGAAGCAGCGGCGTCCTTGCTGCCCTTCCGCGCCCGGCCCGGCCTGGCCCCGCTTGGCTCTCACCTGCAGGTACCCACCCGTGTGGCGCGAATCCTCGGCCCCAATCCCCATTCTCCCGCACCCCAGAGCATCCCGGGTTGCGGTCGGTGGAAGAGGGAGGGAGAGGCAGCCTCCCACCTCCCCCGTCACATTCCCCTGCTCTCCCCTCCCTGGCCCCATCCTGGGCAGCCGCCCTCTCCGCCTGCCCCTGCTCTCATTCTGCTCCTATTGCTCTCATGCTTCTCCCGGAATTCCGACCCTTGCTCCTAAAATACTGCATCCTCTTCCCTCCGGCATCCTATGCCTTGCACTCTGCACTTGCCCTCGCCTCACACTCCGCACTTAATATCCTGGGCCCTGCGTATGGTGTGTACATCATCATAATTAACACTAATAGAGTGCTTTGAGGTTTACAGAGCACTTTATACGTACATGTGATCCTCACAAGGACTCTGGTGCTATTTTTATCCCTGTTTTATAGATGGGGAAAACAGATGCCGAGAGGTTAAGTGATTTGCCTTTTGTCACCCAGACAAATAAGTATCTAAGACATGATTCGGACTCAGGTTCTCCTGACTTTAAATCCAGCGCCCTATCCCTTCACCACCTAACAGCCTCACCCCAGTCCTAGCACTCTGCACCTCCATCCTTGAATTCTGCACCTTACTCCCGACATCCTGCTCTTCTTCCTGCCCAACGCTTCCTTGGGGTGCTGTTTGTTGGCCTAAATTCCAGCCCTCAGGAGGGTAAGTCAGTAGCAGATCTACTTTCCTTGATCTTCCCCAACTGAAAGTGACAGTCAGAGTGTCAGTCACACCTGGGTGATGTGATGAGGGGCTGACTTGAATCCCCTAGACCTCTTGAACTTCAGAGCAGGTCAGAGTGTGAAAAGAGATCCTGGATGCCTTCAGTGACTGCCTTTAGGCTTAGAAAAAAGTATCTGTGTATTGGGATGGGAGGGTGGGGTTGGGGATAGACAGCTCTAATCTTTGTCCTTTCATACTCCCCTCCCAAATTTGACTGTAGGTGAGCATCTCTCATTGACAAACCTCTCCTTAGTTGGCTATCCACTTATTTATTTGGGCTTACTATTTGCAAGTGGGTTGGTGTGTACATGCTGTCAGGGAATTAGAATCCCAAAGAAGAAAATGGCTCTATAAATACCAAGTATTATGAGGGTGTCTAAAGAAGCTGATCCGCCTTGCACTGGCTATTGACCTTTAGGAGGGAGGATGGGTGAGGGCTTGTTTTCTTTTCATTACAGGTGTCCTGAAACACTGTTTTAATTCCATTTTCTGAAAATTGACTGTTTTCCTACAGATTTTGTCCAGAAGTATAGCATGTTAGAACTATAAGGGACCTTTGAGATGGGTTCATACAGTTTAGAGCTGAAAGGTACTTTTGATGTCATCTAATTCAATCCCCTCATTTATAGGTAAGGAAGCCCAGAGAGGTTAATCATATAGTCCAACTCCCTAATTTTCCAGATGAGGAAGGTCACACAACTTTAGGCAAGTCTTTAACCTTTCTGGGTCTGTTTCCTCTGGTAAAAAATTAGGGAGTTCAACTATATGATTAACCTCACTGGGCCTCAGTTTCCTTATCTGTAAAATGAGAGGGTTTGAACTAGGTGACTTCAAAGGTTTCTTCCTCCTTTAAATCCTATCTAAACCTTTGGTGGCAGACTAGAACCCACGTGTCCTGACTCTCTTTTTAAGTGTTGTAGACATCAAACCACATCTCCTTGAATGAAATCTGAATGATGAAAGCGTGATAGGATGTGGTCAGGTCAAAATCTTTATTTGAATATATTTTGGTGAGTGGTTTATGAGTTAAGGGAGAAAAAATCCTGCTGTATTGTAATTCTTTGGTTCATAGGCACTGTTCCACCTGTGAGAATGAAAGTAACTGTTTATAATGGTACAGAAAATTCCCATTGACATAAGATGTTTTTGGCCTTGTTTGTACTTATAGGGAAGCACTTCATGAATGTTAATAATAATGAAGTCATTTGCACAGTTTCATCTTGAATAATAAATTCATCCAGCTACAGTTTTTCTAATCCCAACTGGGGCAAATTCCTAAGTGAAACTTTCTGTCTTTGTTTAGTTTTTCCAAAAATGACTTTTAAAGTTACTCCCACAGGAAAACTAAAATTTCTTCCTTCCTTTTATTATCCCTTTTCTCCCCCTTTAATAAAGGTTTGGATAGAATTCAGAATTGATTACAACTCTGGCTGGATTGTTGTACTTCTTCATTGCAGAACATCTGTGAAATTATTACTCTAACTTGATTTAAGGTTGTCCCTACATTTTGATTTTTATTCCAAGGCCCTGATAAGCATGTGGCTTAAAACCTAACCTTGGAAATCTAACCTTGGATGTGTATGGTGTCAGATTAAAATTGTCAGGTCCCACGTGACTTCCCTCAGTGACAAGAAACAATAGCAATTCCTTTTTTAAAACATGTTTTGTTGATGATCTTAAAACAAACAAACAAACAAATAAAACTTCCTGGTGATATTCTTTCTCCCCTTTCGTTCCCCACACCTTCTGTAACAAGCCAGTATACACTTTGGCCATTTGTGAAGAGCCTCATTTAATCAACCAATTCTTCAGTCAGCAAGCATTTATTAAGCACCTGAGATCAAATCCAGCCTCAGACACTTGCTATCTGTGTGACACTGGGCAAGTCACTTAACTGTTTGCCTCAGTTTCCATATCTGTAAAATGATCTGGGGAAGGAAATGGCAAACCTTCCCAGTATCTTTGCCAAGAAAACCCCAAATGGGATCACAAAAGAGTCAGACAGGACTGAAAAACTACTAGACTACCATAACAAAAGAAGAATTTTCTAACAATCCTAGCCATCTGAAAATTGGATGAGCAGCTTTGTGTGATGATGAATTATACCATCACAAGTGATTTATAGGATTTAGAACTAGAAGAGGCCTTGGAAGCCATCTAGTTTAACACCCTCACTAAAAACCAAACAAACAAAATGGGGGCAGGCATTGTGCTGGGTAGAGGAGATGCAAAGACAAAAACAATAGTAGCTTTTAAGGATCCTGTAGTCTATTGGGGAGAAACATGTACAGGTAGAAGTATATAGAGAATAAAGAAAATATATATGTGTGTGTGTATATATATATATATATATATATATATGTATATATATATATATATATGTATATATATATATATATATACACACACACACACATATATATGTGAAGGAATTAATCTGCAGAAAAATGGCAGACCTGTTTCACTCATGTCACAATTGTTCAGAGTTCTGTGGTTGCAATTCTTCTAGTTTCTCTCAGGAAAAAGATTTCACTGAGGTTTTTGAAATGCAAACTCATTTTCTTCACATGTATGCTATTAAAGCTGCTCTGCCATAGAGGAGCTAATACAGAGAGAAGTAAAGTGACTTCCTGGAGGCTACAGGGTAAGTCAGCAGTAGAGCTGAAGACATTCATAGTCATTGAGCATAAAAGCATACCAGGTACTGTACTGAGTACAGAATTGGGCTTCTGAGGACCTTTCTGCAGCTCACTTTAGAGCATGCTATCTTGAGGTAAGATGGGGTCAGAAGGAGTTCCATCTAAATTTGAATAGAAAATTTGTGGCCATGTAGGTTAGGAAGAAGAGTCAGGGTGAGGACAAGTTACTTTTGTGCATGTGGGTTTGTGGTTTTATAGCACTCTGCATTGGAGATGAAGATGCATGCATACAAAAACCATGACTTGCTGTCTTAGGGTGAGTTCCCCTTGATGTGTCTGTTTTTGGTTTTTCTATAACAGGATGGCAGCTGCTTTGTGTCTGCAGGTTCTGTGCAGCCTGTGTGGTTGGCTATCACTCTACCTCTCCTTCTGCCGCTTGAATAAGCATCGGAGCTATGAATGGAGCTGCAGACTGGTTACCTTTACACATGGAGTCCTTTCCATAGGCCTCTCTGCTTATATTGGATTTATTGATGGTCCCTGGCCTTTTACTCACCCAGGTGGGTTTCAGGAATTTTTCCTTGGGATTTATGGACTGGGGAGATGCCTTGGAAGAAAGGGAATTTTCTATAAAACTGGTACAGCATTGAAGGATGATTCCCATTAGGATGACTGTTGAAACACTCATCCATCCCCTGTACTATTTACTTTTATTGCTTTCTCTGTCCATGTACTTAGACAGAGATCCCAATTTCCTAGTGCCTCAGCCCTGAGCAGCCCCTGGGGAATCTACGTCTGTGGATTTAGGTACTTTTCACTAAGTATCCCACCAAAGTAGGTATTGTCTAGAGTAGAGTGCACAAAAGCCTTTTTCTCCTCCTCACTTGTTAACATTTCTCAGCCATTGATTCTGTAAAGTTCCCTATTGAACTCCTGAGTTTATTCCCCAATTTTCATTCCTAGAAAAAAGCAACCTTCAAAAATATTCATGTGTAGTAAGTATGTTAGTTCTGTAGGCCCTTTTTCACAGGTATACTGGTGTATGTGTGTGTGTTCGGTCGTTTTTCAGTCATGTTACACTCTCTGTGACCTCATTTGGGGTTTTTTCTGGCAAAGATACTAGAGTGGTTTGCCATTTCCTTTTCCAGCTCATTTTTATAGATGAGGAAACTGAGGCAAACAGGGCAATGTGATTTGCCCAGGGTCACACAGCAAAGAAATGTGTGCAGCCAGATTTGAACTCAGGAAGAAGAGTCTTCCTGACTCCAGGCCCAGCACACCATCCATTCTGCCACCTAGCTGCCCAGGGACACTGGTAACATGCTGCAGTGACTGTAATCTACTTTAAGCATAGGAACAGGGCTACTGTGTATTTTCTATTAAAACATTAGGATGAGAAATAAATTTGATGTCCAGGGAAGAATGTAATGAGAATATGAGGGACAATTCATCTTTAACTGAGGGATACAATCATGAGATTTTAATCTAAATGAACAAGTGCCTAAATTGGTTTTACATGATTTCTTAATGACGATATCTTTTATGGACTTCTTTGGCTCTCAAAGCTTAAATTTATACAGTGCTGAAAAGTTTGCAAAGTGCCTTCAATACAACAAGGTACCATTGTTATCCCCATTTTGCAGATGAGGAAACTGAGGGTCAGAGAGATTAAGTGACTTTCTCAGTGTTGCACAATTAGTATCTGAGGAAGGTCTTGAACCTAGGTCTTCCTGTTTCCAAATCCAGAGGTTTGTCTTTAACTCCAGGTGTCTTGGTTCAGTCTAATTGATGGGAAATGAATCTCTTGGATTCTAAAAAAATAATTTGGTATACAGCTTATCCCTGGAGGCTGATCTGTTATCAGAAAGCATGGATTAAATGTAACAAAGAACTGTACTTGCCATTATTCTGGCTTCAACTGAGGCTACAGAAACTTGGGCAATGGCACTGGATCTCTGGGCAAGGTAGCATGGTTTGTCATTGATTGTCATCCTCTTCTGGTTTATTTCAGGATTACCCAATACTCCTCTTCAAGTACATGTTCTGTGTCTCACCCTTGGCTATTTCATCTTTGATCTTGGCTGGTGTGTCTACTTCCAGACAGAGGGAGCTCTGATGTTGGCTCACCACACACTGAGTATCTTGGGCATCATCATGGCCCTTGTTCTTGGGGAGTCAGGCACCGAGGTCAATGCTGTTCTCTTTGGCAGTGAGATCACTAACCCATTGCTACAGATTCGATGGTTCCTCCGGGAGACAGGCCACTACCACAGTTTCACAGGGGATGTGGTAGATCTTCTCTTTGTGGCTTTATTCACAGGAGTGAGGATTGGCGTTGGTGCGTGGCTTCTTTTCTGTGAAATGGCCTCACCTAAGCCCAAGTGGTTTGTGAAGGCAGGTGGAGTGGCCATGTATGCTGTGTCCTGGTGTTTCATGTTCAGCATTTGGCGCTTTGCCTGGAAGAAGAGTGTCAAGAAATACCATGCCTGGCATAGCGGGCGAGGCGAGGACCGACAACTGAAAAAGAATGGACATCTCAAAGTGCGTTAATCAGGGCTTGTAACTTGCTATGAATGGGGATTGGCATCTCACCCTCTTAAAAGGGTAGGCTTGGGAATCATGTTGAGGGTCTGTGTCTTGTGGAATGGGATGCTCATAGCAAACTTAGGAGAGTTTTTTTTTAAAGGGCTTAATTCGTTCAGGGAGTATTCAGTTCTAGAGCACAAACATAAATATCAGTATTGAGTACTAACTTTTGCACTGGCACACTTGAAACAACTGAGACTACACTGAAGGAAATCTGAGGGCTTGAGTCAAGTCAGAACTGTGTGGAAAGCTCTGCTGGGATCCCATGTCTTTGGGCAGCTTGGAAGGGCCATTGAAGTGAATTGTTTTGTCCTTGTTACCATGAGAAGAGTGACTCAAATCTATTTATTACCTAATGTAATTATATTTCTCACCTGGTCTATGCCATCACTGTTAGAGGGAATTTGGTGGAAGCATCATTGGCATTTTCAGTAATGGATTATTCAAACTTATTCTCTGCCTTAACAGTAGATAATCCTAGAAGATCAGAGGGGTGTAGGGGAAGGAGCACATAGACTTGCAGTCTCAGCTAGACCAATCCTACAACTAGCGGGCTTCAGACTCTTCTAGGCAGGCTGCAGTGCAGAGAAATTTATAGGGTCCTGTTGTACAGGTTCTGTTATACCAAGAAAACTGTATTCCACTTCTCAGGGGCTTTTAGTACATTAATCTCTTGCGCTTGAGAGGCTGTGGCTGGATTCCATGGGGATTTACTATGTGGATTCCGCTGGGCTAGAGATGGCAGTTCAGGTTTCAGCTCAGCTGTAAGCATTGTAAACGACAACCAAAGAAGAGTAAATTGTTGTGCTGGCCCCAGGGCAGTGAGGCTGCATTTTTCTTCTCTCTCATCTATTACTTTCTGTCTCCTCATAATACCTTTACTCCTCTAGTTCTTAAAAAACATGCCACTAGAAGTGAGTATTCGTATCATATAGCCAATCCTAAAAGAACAGAAGCACTCATATGAATCAAGCCTGACCCCTGCCCACAAACACTGCCAGTAACGTGGCTGATGATATAGATGTTTTATCACTGTGGTCTACTGGGAAAAGCACTGGATCTTCATATAGAAGACCCAGATTCAAATTCTAGCTCTGTCATGTACTAGCTGTGTGACTTTGGACAAGTCACTTAAGCTCTCTAGGGTTCAGGTTCCTTATCTACAAAGTGAGGGAGGGGGTTAAATTAGATGATTTCTTGAGACTGATTCCAGCTCTACATCCTACAAGATAAGTTAAGATCTTGCTGCAGTTTGCCCCTCTGTAAGGATGGTAACTTCTATCTCACAGAGGGTATTGTGAGCTATTTTGGAAGTCTGTAATGAAAAATATTTACAGAAGGCAGAAGTGTCATCTATTTATTTATTTGGATATATCACTGGTTGTTTATAGTGCTATTGAAACTTAGGTCAAAGGCAATCCCCATATAGATTAAAGAAATTCACTCTGTCCCACATCCAGAGACTACCCTGACTTCATCCAGTTGGTATGAAAAAGGATGCCTTTGGCCACAGGAGGAATCAGGCATAGGAATCATCACATCTTGGAAAAACAACACAATTCATCTTTCCTATTATTGGCAGGTCAATAGCATTGTCCTTATATGAGAAGCACAGGACATTACTCTTATTTGGTTCGAGAAGCATTTCTTGCTGGGCATTGAAATAATCTCCTAACACCCATTATCTCCATCTGCTTGTATTACCATGTCCATGGAAAGCTAGTAAGTTACACTTCAACAACATCTGGGTATCTAAGGAATGCTGATTTCAGCAAAAGCTTATGGTGAGGAGTGTGGCTTGGCACATGGACTCCAAAGAAAACTGGCCTTTGGACTTTGGCACAGTGAAATCTCTGTACTAGCCAAGTGAATGCTCCTGATATTACAGCACATTCCTTTCCCCTTCGCCTTAACAAGTGGACGGGGGGAATCTTGCTATTTGTGGGTAATCTCTTGAGAAAGAAGCTCTTACTAGTTTGTGGAATGGTGAGTTAACTCCTAGGCAGCTGGCGGTAAGGGAAGGGATTCCTCATAGCAACTCTCCTGTGTGTTGTGGTTGGTACTTATGTAGCAAGCTCCCCAAGAGAAAACGTGAAATGAAGATGACTCAGCCGCTGAAGGAATAAGCTTGAATCTTCCATCACAGGTACAGAAAGGGCTAACTTACCTGTGGTACTGTGGAATGAAAATGAAGTACTAATTTACATTTGGATTACTATGTAATAATATTTTACCCATGAAGGATTTATATATAATATATATTGTTTGTACTAAATTTTATAAAATAAACAACTTTGTATTAATATTAAATCTGCATTTATATCTTCATTTGCAGCTTTGAAGATTGGCTAAAAAACCCCTAAAAAGGGGTGGGTCCTACAAACGTTTCAGTTTTTAATTGGCTCCATGCCCATTACACATTAAAATAAATAACTTCCTTTTCCTGCCTATCCAATCAGCCGTTACTCCAGTTACTTCTGCCTCCCAACTTTGGGTGGGTTTGAGATGATTGTGAGGGTACTTTTGCCAGTCATGTTGCAGCTCCTCCATCCATTATGAGAGAGCCTTTATGATTTGCTTTGGCTGATAAATTCATCACTGCAGCCAGGCTGATGTGGAGACCCTAAAATGGGCTGAGATGATCCTTGGATTTCAAACCTATATACTGCCTCAGGGAGTCTGCAATCAAATCCTTTCTGTTGGCAGGACCTGTTAGAGCTTGTGCTGTATTGGCAGAGGCTGCAAGAACCTGAGGGTCTTCTCAGTGCATCAAAGTAGGACTTTAGTGAAGTATTCCTGTTATCTTTTTAGTGTCCCAACATGGGATTTCATCCTTGGGGAAAGAGGGGAGAATAATTCCTGGTGTGGAAACTCCCTTTACTAACTGAGATACAAAATCGAGCTATAAATTATAGACTGAGAGAATTACCTGGACCCAGTGAAATTATAGAATATACACTTTTTTAAAAAAAATTTATCTATTTTCATAGAATTAGTATGCATCTGAGGTAGAAGGAGAACCAATGTCTTAAGGCTACACAGAGTGACTTCTTATCTCTTGGCAAAAATAACAGGATAGCTAACTGCATACAGTCCATATTCAGTTCAATTCAACAAATGTTAAGTGCCTACTGCCCATGACAGACTTTGTTGGGTGCTGAGACACAACAAGTAAGCAGACAAGTGCAAAGTATGTAGTGATCTCAATAGGAAGAGACCTCTAACATCAGTGGCGGTTAGGGTGGGGTGGGAAAGGCCTGGAGTTAGAGGTAGCCCATGAGCTATGTATTGAAGGAAGATTGGGAATCTATTGGAAAGGTGAAAGAGTGCATTCTGAACATGGTGAACTACTCATTTAATAGCATGGAGGCAAGATGAAGGAATGCTATGGACAGGGAATAGTTATCAGGGCAGGGGAGTAAGACTGGGAAGGTGGATGAGAGACAGCATGGAGGCTTTTAAATTCCTTGCTGAAGATTTTGTATTTTATCCTAGAGGGTACAGGAAACCACTGAAAATTTTATTGAGTTGGGCAGTTTCATAATTAGATCTGTTTTAGGAATATTAGTTTCACAGCTATGTGGAAGATGCCTTGGAGAAGGGAATAGAAACTATAAGTCTAGTTAGGGGGTTAGTGTAGTTATCTATGTAACATATCCTCACTTATAAAGCTCCCCCATGTATATAAGTTCCCATGAAAACCTAACTACAAAAAAAAAAAACAGAAAAGAGAGGAAGTACTTATATATTTTTTTAAGCCTTCAGCCTGATTTTCCTTAAGCCTGGAGGCATTCCCTTTTAGATTCACCTAGGCTGAGCTAGGTTAGGGTACTGGGTTAAGCAAGCAAGGTTAAGGTAGAGGGTTGATTCCCTTACACAGAGATCACTTAACTTTGCATGTGTTCCTTGGCCACAGTCTGTACCCCAAGCCCTTAGCCAGCTGAGTCATATATTTGCACTGTTGGTCACAAGGAGAGCCAGCTGAGAATGTGCTATAAAGCTCAGTGCAAAAGCACAATTACCACCGAAAGAACAGCCCAAACACATGTCCTATTAATGTCAGATCATTAATTTCCCAATGTGGAAATCAGTATATTTCCTTTGGGCCTGGAATATGTCAAGGATACAAGTTTATTTGGTTCTAAAATCACCCTTTTAATCAAGTTTTATCTTTTTATTTATTTTTTAAAAATCAAGTTTTAGGCAACGTAGTGCAGCACAAAGAGTGCTGCATAGGAAGTCAGAGGATCTGGGTTTGAATCCTGGCACTGCCTCTCACTACCTTGAGCAAGTCACTTGACTTCTTTGGTTACTCTTCCCTTGTCTCTAAAATGAAGAGGTTGGACTAAATAATCATTATTTTCTCTTCCAGTTGTAAATTCATGATCTTAAGTGGAGCTATCTCTTTGCCTTTTAAACTTTTCAGGGAGATGAGATAGCTGTTTCCAAGTAGAAAGGAGGAATGTGGAAGACATTAGTTTCATTCTGTTTGGCCCAAGAGGAAAGAACCAGTAACAATGGGTGGAAATTACAGAGTCAAATTTAGGTTTGATGTAAGAAAAAAATAACTCAAAACAACAAACAACTTCCTAACAATCATAGCTATCCAAAAGTAGAATGAGCTCTCTCGGGAAGTAGGGGGTTTCCTTTCATTGGAGGTCTTCAAGCAAGGGCTCTGTGATCTCCTGTGGAGGTTATTATAGTGGGGATTCTTTTTCATGATGCTACAGAGGTCCCTTCCAATTGAATTCTGTGATTCCAGAAGCTACAGGTAGCTCCGAAAAAATTACTATTCTTTAGAGAACTGGAGGAGGAGAGGCTGACTTTGTAGTACATCAGTGAATATTCCCATCTTCAATAATTTCATTACCACTACCTACCATTTTCCATTTCCTGAGGGAGAAAGCAACTGGAAAGCACTGGCCTGGGTGTCAGGAGAGCTGACTTTTAGTCTTGTTTCTGCCACTAATTTTTTGTGAGACTTTAGACAAGTCACTTCATCTTTTACATCTCCTTGTTTCCCTACTTGTGAAATGAGGGGGCTAGGCTATGTCTAAGGATCCTTCCAGTTTTAACAGTATGATTTTTATTCTTTGTTCATAGTTGGATGTATAAGTTTAGGATTATGTTCAAAACAGTTTTCCCAGAAATATTGTATAGAAAAAAGGACCTTTAGGATCCCAAAGGGAAGAGGAGAACCCTTCTTTACAATGCACCATTTGATGAATCACTGGAATGAAAATGCCTAACAAAAGGATTATGTCAAAGGAAGACACAGTTAGTCCATCATTGTGATTATACAGAATACATTTGTTAAGTTTGTGGACCAGATTTGGATCTTGGCCAAGGCTTATTGAAATGGCTGGCTCTCTAGCTGTTCAATAATTTTTATTTTTTTTAATTGCAATTTTGCCTGGACAGTTCTGGAGTTGTGTCGTATTAGCATATTCCAGCAGGTGGCAATATATCCTGCTGACATCATTAGGACTGAAGTGACCTGTATCACTAAATCTGTTTCTTTCCAAAAATAAACATTACAAAATTAGCTGGCTCTTCACTGATCTCAGAAATCAAGCAGCTAGAGTCATCTTTGGACTCAGTTTTTATTTTTTTCCCTGTGCTACGTCACCCTTAGCTCAAGCACAAAGAGCATTCAGGGATATGATCCTTCGTGCAGAATGATATTCACAGAAAGCAATGTTGAAGTGGAATTATTTTAACTAAAATTATTGAATTCTGATAAATTGCAATTTTCAACAAACAACTGAAATCATTAAGCCATCAAGACTCTGAAAATGAAACATTGAACAAGGTTATTCAGAGTAGGTTAAGCATGTCAAAATAGGTAACAATTTATTAATTCTATGTGTAGAATCTTGTGTTGAGGGAGATACAGTTTAGATAAGACTGTTCCTGTCTGCATGGGATTTATAATCTAGAAGAGGAATATGATATATACACATATAACTATAATAAAAATACATGTTAAGTGGTTCAGTGGAAAGTGGGCTTCAAATCCAAGCACTGGCACTTAATGCCTGCCTTACCTTGGAAAAGTCACCTTTCTTGTCTTCTTTTTCCTCATCTCCAAAATGTGGGGATTGGAGTAGATGATCTCTAAAATCCCTTCCAGCCCTAACTAAACCTATGATCCTCTGATAATGTGTGTAGGGAAATGTCAACAAAATACTCTCACAGGGAGGTGGGGGATGTCATTACTGCCCAGAGGATGGGTGGGCGGAAGAAGAGGGGTGGCATATGGGCATCTATCTGGGTAGGAATTTTTCTAGAAAAAGCAACAGCCAAGGTATTTAATACCTGGACATGAACATTTGTAGAACATTGATATATTGGGTTCAGATTCCTAAAATGTTGACCTTCACAACCTTAATAAGTAGATAACAGTGAAATATGTGGAAAAACTTCCAGAGAAAATATTTTCTATATAGATTCCCTTTGATCAAAATACCAGAAAATGCCTTTTCTTTTCCTTCCACAAACAGCTATGAAGGCCTGCAGAGAAAACAGCATAGCATGCTCTCTTCAATGACTGCAAATAACATACCCTATTTTTCAAGGCAGAAACAGGCTAAAGGTAACATACCAAGAAATTACAAAATATACAGCTGGAAGAGACCTGAGAGCTCAGAAAACAGAGACTGAGAAGTGAAGTGACTTGCCCAAGGTTACATAGCTATTACATCTCCTAGATGTAATAACCCTTTGTTTTATTCTTCTTTGCCTAAGAAGCCCTCCAACCATCCCCCATTATCACCAATCCTCAGACATGGGGATTGGGCATCCAAGCACACCCTCCTGGCACAGGTGGGGAAGCTTTTGTCCCAATGGAGGGCTCCAAGTCTGTTCTCAAGCCCATCAAGAGGCTTCCTTTAGGAGGGTCCGTTTGCCAGGTGGAGCCCGGGCATTGACAGCCTGGAAAAGTAGGTTTCTTTCTTACTTCTTTCTTCCTTTCTTTCGAATTAACAACTGAGCCTTGCAAGGTAGGTTTTTCTCTTTTTCTCCCTCCCTCTCCATCTTTTTTTCATTGCTTGGCATTGACAGCTAAGCCTTGCAAACTAGGTTTCTCTCTCTCTCTCTCTCTCTCTCTCTCTCTCTCTCTCTCTCACACACACACACACACACACACACACACACACACACACACACACACACACACAGAGTAGCTATGAGGACATAACTACATAACTAGGCACCACAGCTCTTCAGGACACATGTGTGAAAATGAGAGGCAATGGAGAAACATCATTCACCTGAGGGATCATAAAGTTGGATGAACTTGGGCCACATCTTGTGTACAACACCAAACCTACTCTTAACCCCCATTTTACAGATGAGGCTAATAGTGGCCTTAGTGACTGCCTTCACGTGCCACTGCTGAGATTTAATCCTCTAATTCCAAGTTACAACGTAAAGTCAGGGGAAAAGGATTATCGACGTCGGTGCCACATAATTAGCTCCTCTGGTGTCCGCGTAGTACTCCAAAGCACAGCCTCCTTGTGAGGCACAGAGAGCTGAAGCCTGGCCGCCCCTCCGCAGGACTACTTTTCCTTTCCCTCTCCACAACGCTGCCTACAGGGGAGGCTCCAGGATCCGGGACGAGTGCGCGGAGGAGGCGGCAGCGGCGGCTGCGCCTCGTATGTGTGCGCCGCGCGGAGGAATCCTGAGTGAGGCGGTTTGTAGAAGTAAGAGACGAGGCCGGCAAAAAAAAGCAAAAGAGAGAGAAAAGTAGGGCGGGGGAGGAGAGCTAGTGTGGGAGAACTAGCTCAGGGCAGGGAAGGACAGAACCGGAACCGGAACCTGTGCGCGCGGCTGGCATCGTCGCGACCCCCTCCCCCGCCCCCCGGCGTACCGCTTTACCTTGGGCGTCCGACGCATTCCCCGCTCCCCTCCCCCTCCGTCCCAAGCGCGCTCCCGAGGAAGCCCCGAGGAATCCCCGAGGGACCCGGCGAACCGGCCCTAAGGGGAGTTCCTGCCGCTGCCGCCACCGCTCCCTGCAGGCCGAGCCGGGACAGGCCCCTCTCCGGGGAGGAGCCGCGGCGGAGTGCGGAAGAAGCCCGAGCCAGTTCCCAGGGGATGGGGAGCCGCGGCCCGCGGCACTGAGACACCTCGGCCCCCACCTTCTCCTCCTCCTTCCCCTTCGGACTGACTCAGCGAGTGCCCGCGCCCCTGCCCCTGCCCCTGCCCCAGCCGACGCCGGGACAGCCCTCCCCCCGGGCAGACGGGACGGGACGGGAGGGGACCCCGCCCCGGGGGACATGGAGGAGCCGAAGCCTGCGGAGCTGAGCGAAGCCGGCGCGGGACGGCCCCACGGGAAGAGGCTGCAGCAGCAGCAGCAGCGGCGGCCGCAGCAGCAGCAGCGACGACTCGCCCGCAGCCCCAGATAGAGCCCAGAGGGCCCCAGCCAGCCGCGGTCCCCGAACCCCGAGAGGAAAAGGAGGAGGAGGAGGAGCGGGGCGCCCGGCCGCTGCCCGAACACGGGGAGCCAGCCGCCCCCTCCGAGACGCGAGGCTTCTCCCTTTGCCCGTCCTCAGGATTCCCCGGCGGGCCTGCAACTTGTCCCCCACACCCCCCGAGACTTTATCCCCGGAGAAACCCCTCCCGACCTCCCCCCTTTCCCCCGAGTGGATGCCCTATGACTGGCCAGAGTTTGGAGTCGGACTTGTGCGTCCCTCTCGGAGCAGCGCTTGCTGGGGGTGGGGTGGGGACTGGGATGTTGTTGTAAAATGCAAGTTGGATAGAAAGACGACTTCTCGCCAAGGGCCCCAATGAGTGGCACACAGTCTACTATCACGGACAGGTTAGTATGAAACTCCTTTTCTTGGTTAGTCTTTGGGAGTGGGCGACTTCCACGAGCTCCATCCTCACCGAGCTTGACAGGCCCGGGGGAGAGTTGGGTTCGGATTTAATCAACGTTCCCGAGCTGTAGCCGAATCACCCACCGGATTCATTTGGGAAATGTGACATAAGATGCGCACCTTCAGTTTTCAAAGTGAAGCTAAGCTCTTCTGATTCTCAGGGACACACGTAGGTAAAATTAACGTTGGGGTTGTTTTGGCACAAATGAGATTCTTTACCACAAGCCCCCCGAGAGAGGTCACTTTGGGTGAAGGTCAGTGCCTCACATCTGCTGGATACTGGGGCAATGTGGGCAGTTTTGTGTTTTGATTATTCCTGAAAGAGAGCTACGTTATGGCCTGTGTGATCTTGGTCTCTTTTAAAGGGAACTTGGGACTAGTGAACTTTTTTGTTATTCAGTCCTATCAGTCCTGTCTGAGTCTTCTTGAATCCATTTGGGGTTTTCTTGGCAAAGATAACTGGAGTGGTTTGCCATTTCCGTCTCCAGCTCATTTTGCAGATGAGGAACTGAGGCAAACAGGGTTAAGTGACTTGCCCAGGGTCACACAGATAGGAGGTGTCTGAGGCCGCATTTGAACTCAGGAAAATGAGACTTCTGACTTTAGGCTTGACACTTTATCCTGATCTTGGTCTTTTTTAAATGTTGGTTTCTCTAGTTTTTAGTTGTTATATGGTAACTGGACAGATGAATGGAACTCTGTATCTTGTTGGAGTTGGTGTAAAGCATCTGGGTGGAGATTAAAAAAAAACTTCTGATTGTTATATTTCCATATATGTTATATTTATATATGTTATATGTAACATTCCATATATGTTATAGTTCCATAATTTCTGATTGTTATGTTTCCCAGGAAAATGTAGTTTAAAAGAGTATCTTAAGTAGTAAAGGAATTATGTAGTGTTTGACATGCTAGCTAATATATGAATTCGTCTTTATTAGCAGTTAGATTAGATGGATCATTTCTGAGTTAATAAGTCAGAAAATGCTTTTAGGTTAGGTACCCTGAACCCTGGAGAATTAAACTTTAAAATGTGAGGTAAAATTAAGCACATTCATCTTTACAGTGTTTTTACATGTATCATTTTCATTATTACTTTGGGTTCCTTTCACACTATTATACAATAATGTTGTATATTGTGTTCCAGATGCCAACTTCATATTTTTCTTTCTGTGTTCTGGACTAGAATTCTAATTTGAAGTCAGAAAATCTCTTAACACCACTCCAGAAAGTGGAGGGAGGAACTAAAATTGAAGTTTAATAAAAGAAGCATCAGATTTGGAAAAGCCTGTTTGTTTTTAAACTTCTTTGTTGTAAGGTAGAACAATAGGACTCTGGCAAAAAGTGTTTAAGTTACTTTATAAGAGTTACACCCAATTGCTGGACTCATTTGTTGATTAAAAAAGGGCTGAAATCCATTATCATACCAAAACAGCTCCTCCAGAGACAGAAGTTGCACTTCCTCTTCCTGTTGATGCTTTCCACAATGTCACATGCACACTCACCTAAAGCATTCCACTGACGTTTTAAAAGTCTATATATGTTCTTTTAAAGTGTATCAGTATTTTCAAATGAGATTTTATTGCCTATGAAATATTTTTTTTTCCTGTCTCCTTTGAGCAACTACTATACTGATCTTGTACTGCCTGAATTTGCTTTTACTCCCTTTTCTTTCAGGGTATTTTGCTTCTAAGAATCACTTTCTGGGGGTAGAGTGGGTAATTGTTTTTCTGGCTCCTTCAACTCTTGCCTTTTCTGTTGAGCCATTAGTGATAAAAACCCCATTAGAAACAAATGTGTTAGTAGTATTTTTTTCTTCCTGTTGCTGTTTAATTCTGTAGAAATGGAGCTTAAGGCCACCAACTCATGCTACACAAGAATCACCAGTGATCTTTTTTGAATGTTATTATTGGAAATTATATTTGCCTACCTATTTTCAGTTTTAGACATTTGTTTTTTTTGTCATCTAGGTAAAGGACATGATTCTTGTAGGCATTAGACTAAGTTGCAAGTTGGAGGAAGTGTAACTTTAAAGCTTCTGTGTTTTGGTTTTAGTTGTTGATAGTAAAGTTTGTTTTGGGAGTGAATTTCTCTAGATAGTTCACAGTGCTAACTGATTTATGGTGTAATATGACAAAATTTTGAGATATTCTTTTAAGTTTCAGAGGACAAAATCAGGCAATTTAACCAGGCAGTATGGATACTTGTTTCTTAGGTATTTGTGTTACAAATTTTCTCCATACTTTTGTTCACTGCTTTCTATTGATTGCAGGTGTTATAGTTTCCCTCATTATTAGCCATGATCATAGTGTGAATAGTTGTTCTATTATAACTGTGCACAACTTTGATTTAATCTGACTTGTAGTAGTGATTTGAATGTGTTGGGGATAAAATCTGGAAGTACTGGTTTAGTGTTGCTTCTGTGCCAAGGATCCTTAAAGTCTTGAGTAGGGAATACTTCCCAGCTTTCTGTAGGCACCACCCACTGTAGCCTCCTCCTTCCCACTATTCAACTCCAAACTAGTGCTGATGGTATAGTTGATGTCTGACAGCTAAGTTTGCAGTGATTGGCAGACTGACCGTACTAGTGGACCTTGTTATGGTCTTTTCACATTTGAAGTACTGTATGTGGTATGTTTTGTAGTGTGTGCAAAATCACCCAGGCTAGCTGTGTGTGAGTCTGTGTTCTTTCATTGTGGTGCTTTTGACTGCACAGTCTGTCTGTCCCTAGCTAAAATCAGACTGGCTGGCTTTGGGCGTTGCTGTTTTGCAGTTTGTGGCAGGCGACACATGGTTGAACAAGATAAGGGTTTTATTCTTCTTAGTGGGGACGTGCTGGGACTAGGATCGAATTCAGCTATGCTTATGCTCTGATTGGCCACTTTGGATGCCCAGACCCTGTTGTATCCTGTTATTACTTTGTGGTTACATTAACACATTCATTCTCTCTTCTTCCCTTCTTCTCTCTCTTTAAAAACAAGCAAAAAAAAGAACCTCAAACTCAAACTAAACTGAAACCTAAAAATGGTGGTCTTCTTGCAATCTAGACCATTTCTAATAAATGGCTATAGCTTTTTTCTGTGTAGTTTGAGAAGAAATGGGGGAAAAAACTAACACATTTACAAATGAGAATTACCTTGTTTAGCAGTTTTTATGAGGTCCTAGCAAACTTTAGATTGTCGTCTTCCATAATCTTCATTTGGAGGGTGGTAGAATCTACACATTATTGCTTTTGGGAGGTTTTTGATGCCTGCTTTTCTGATCACTCACTTCTTAAATATACTAATTGTTTCAGTCTCTTTACATAACTTTCTGCCATCCCTGAGAATGTAGAGATCCATGGTAAAGGGCATGTCTTTTGAATGCCAGAGAATAGAAAGTTCTTTCAGTAGAGTAAGGGAAATAATTATGTTGTATGTGATTAGTAGCAAACTTTTTAGAAACCATCCACAATTTTTAATTGTACTGGAATTTTTTATGTAAATCTTGAGATTTTGATGTTTAGATTGTTTAGATAGTGGATTTAAGAATAATCCTCAATCAATAGCAAGTTATTTTCTGCAAAATATAATCAATTTCCTTTTTGTATGCGCTGTTATTTGATATTCTTCATGTCTAGTGCTTTTTGATTCTTTCCTTCAAGAACATATTCAGATTATGAAGGAGTAAATTATTTTCCATTTACAAATTTTTGGCTTTCTCACTACTAATCCATGTTTTTCAGTGTTTTTCTTGCCATGCTCACCTCTTCTCACCAAGTTTCAGAGGGTATGTTGATTTAATATGGAGGATCTCATTGAGGTCTGCATACAATTTCTCCATCCCTTCATCTTCTATTAACAGATATAACAGTGTTTAAACTGCTGTTATTTTCATAGTGGTCATTTTGCAGATATTTTATCATGAGCACTGCAAAATGAGGTAACCAGATATGACTAGTGAACTGATGTTTCTTGTTATCTTTGGGTACAAGATAAAAACCATTTCTGGTCAACTCTTATTTATCTGAGAAGAACCTGTGATCCATCCTTCTATTTAGCTGCATTTTCCTTGGGTTTTGTTTATAATGAGAATGTGGAGATTGATACAATGATACCATATTTAGAATGCCAACAATCAATTAGAAACAGTTTAAAAATTGTTTGATTCTTAGTATCTTTTGGCCCCTTTTCTACCATTGTAGAATTGGAAAGGGTCCATACAGCACTGAAGGTGGTAAACTTAGTGGAGGAAAAGTGAGGCATTTGGATTAATCCCATAGATCAGTGTGTTCACTTGCACTTTTAATCATAAAGTATTTTTTCTTTCAAGAAAGCTAATGTTGTATAATGCATTTTTAAAAGAAAGATCCAAAAGTGTTTCAACTATGTACTATTTTGATTTTTGTCCTTTTATTGAAAGTTGTTGTTAAATGTTTTTCCCAAGGTCACTTAATGAGTCAGTTGAGAAGCCAAGGGTAAAGTCCTAGTCGTCAGTTTTAATTGCAGTATATTTGTTTCATAGGTAATTGCTTCTGCATTATTCTTTAAGTTAAAAATAAAGTTACAAGGTAGAGGTTCATTGGTTTTGAGTTGTCTGACCTGATATTTTATAAGGCATCCTGATAGCTGTGCTACTTGGAACATTTTAAAGTGCTAAATTTGAGGATGTAATTTAGGTCATGAACTAGCAAACTTTATGGAAACGTTATTTTTAGTACAACACAGAAACTAACATTGTGCTTCAGTGTTGAAAGGAGAGGCTCCTTTATATCTGTAGACCAGGCAAAGACCTTTTTTGTTCTGATTTTTTTCTACCTATATCATTAGCATGTGTAAGTTACTATGATGTTTCTTTTATGATGTGGTCTTGCTGTTATCCTACGTCAGGGTCCTAGAAAGACCAGGATTTTGAACCTTAGCATTTTTAAGATGGATCCATCAATAGACATTGAATCAGCTCT